GGCTCCGTGTGCCTGCTGTCCCTGCGCCGGCTTCCCCGCACGGTTCCCCTCTGAGGTGCACGGACGGAGGTGTCTGGATGAAGAACGAGGTTCAGGCTGAGGCTTCGTGGGAAAAGGACCCCTCGGGGCAGCCGTGGGGAGAGCTACAGCGCGTCCTGGCCCTGGGAGAGGTTCCCGGTGCTGAGGGCCAGGCCCTGGGGTCAGGGGAGGGCCACGATGAGCCCACAGCTGCTGCGCGGCCAGGACCAGGGCACAGGCTCCGAATGATGGAGCCCAGAACCTTCGGGAAGTCCTGACGCCAGCCTCCACGCCTGAACCCGCAGGTCACTCCACGGCTCAGGGGGCACGAGGAGGGTGGCAGGCTGAGGGGCGCCTCCTTTGAGACCTGACTCGCCTCATCGGTGGACTAGATGACCGTGGCCAGGGGCCCAGGAGGAGGGACAGGAGCGCCCTCCTCGGCCCGGCGACAGGCCAGCGCTGGACAATGGGACTGACCCCAGGCCATATGGAGGTGGGGGCTGGGTGACCATCTGCCAGCTGAGGGCGGCCCCAGCACCTTCAGAGAGTCCCTGCCCCACAGAACAGGCCTGGAGGGGACCTGGAGGGAGCGAGGCGGACAGCACTGGCCGCCGGGCCCCACACCATGCTCAGTGCGACCACACACCCGACCGGGCCAGACGTCGTTTTTTAGCCGGCGCCCGGCCGAGACGGGGCTGCTGGCCTCCGGGCCGGTGAACTCACTCCAGCAGCCGCCACACAAGTAGAACCACTGGGCACAGGGGCCTCAGGGCAAAGGCCTCCCTGCCCACGGAGGCTTCCTTTTCTGACAGTAACTTTCCAGGACGTGGTGACACCCAGAGAAAAAATGCAGCAGCTCCACGGGGTGACCGCGGCCCAGATTCCCTCCTCATGGGGCTCCCCCCTCCCTCGCAGCCAGACTGCCCTCTGACAACGGGCTGGGCCGGAGGGATGCGAAGCGCTTCCCCTTGAGGCTGGGAGCTGAGCTGAGTCACTACTCCAGGGACAAGGCCACACCCCTGAGTTACTCCCAGCCAGCCGCCCCGGAAGGCACGGGAGGACCCCCAATCCTGGGCGGGTGGGCGGGCGGACAGGGTCGAAGCCCTGGCCCTCAGCCCTGGCAGCACTGGGCCTGCTGACCCTTTTGAGCAAAAAAAGCAGAGTTTTCTAAAGAGAAGCGTACAGCCAGGCCCAGGCCGCTCAGGGCTGAGTGTCGCCCTGGGACCCAGGAGGTCGGGGTTCGATCCCGTCAGGGCACACCTCGGGTGGCGGCTCCATCCCCAGTGGGGGGGCGTGCAGAAGGCAGCTGGTCCATGATGCTCGCTCATCATGGATGTTTCCATCTCTCTCCCTCTCCCTTCCTCTCTTTGAAAACAACAAAAACATATTTAAAAAAAAAAAAAAAAAAAAAGAATACAGGCGGCTAAAGGCTGGGCGGTGGGTGACACCCCGTGCGGTGAAGCTGAGCGCTCCCACGTGCCCGGCTGGCTGGCGCGAGTCGCTGTGGACAGATGAGGGGAAGGAACCCCGGGAGCAGAGGCAGGGTCTCCTCACCCGCAGGCAACAGCTGCCCGGGAGCCGGGACAGCACAGCCCGAGGGGCGGGCACGCACCCCAGACCAAAGGGACACAAGCCATGCCAATCAGGACGGGGCCTCACGCCAGGACCCCCCCCCCCCGCAGGAAGCGGGCCTG